TATCGATGGTATAAGTCTGGGCAACTTGTCACGGACATTGGAGCCCTTGGCAATGGAAATAGAACATTACTGTTGTCAAATGTATCGCCCAAAGACGATGGCATCTATCGGTGTGAAGCGTACAACGTGGAGGGGAGCGATGCGTCTTCTACCAATCTGAAGGTGCACAGTAAGTATTATCAAAGTCTATTTGGAAGATTTGTGTATCAATGTTTTTGAAGTTGAATTGCTCGTTTAGTGGACGTCCAAGTGTACGTCGAGCAGCCAGTCGTCAGGTCGTTTTTGCAAGGTGACGCCAATCAGACCATCGTGTGTCACGGTAGCGGCCAACCTCAACCGACAGTCCGATGGTTTTACAATGGTGAAGCAGTTCAGGCGGTCGACAAGGTTTTTCCCAAGTTTACTTCGCAAGTTGTGCAGGTGACGTGGAACAACATAACAGAGAAACTTCAGAATGTCAGCAGTCGACTTTATCTTCGTGTAGGTGGAATAACGCTGAATGATGCTGGAAACTACACTTGCAAAGCGTGGAATGCAGTCAATGAATCGGCCGAAAAGACAGTAGAAGTATTGTGTGAGTCATTTTTTTACATATTTTGATGTGTTTTGTCGAGTTAAAGGTTGTCCTGAATTTTAAGTTATATTCAAATTGAAAGAGAGTCAATGATCTTAACATTTCTTATTTGTAAAGAGATTAACGGGCAAAAAGATAGTATTTGGGTATATAAATTTCTGATTGTTATATGAATGTGCAATATGATGTAGCATACGTATGTTTCAAAGTCAGTAACTTTTGATTGATCATCTATGTTGAGAACCATGAATATGAAAGTTGAAGATTATTAAAAGTATGAATAAAAGATCTGTTTTGTTTCTCTTCGTAAGAGCTCTTTTGAATATTATCAATCTGTTATTTCAGTTCGCCCTGAGATACATCAGCCTCCTGGGTACGTGAGCGCTCTTGAGCATCAGAATGTTTTGTTGATCTGTAACGCCACAGGAGTTCCTCCGCCTTTAATAACATGGAGGTTTCACAATGGAAGAAATTTCTCATCTCTGCTGAACTCATCATCATGGTCAACGTCACAAATGACTTCAAGTTCCGTTGTTGTAAAGGATGTAATGAACAGCTATGCTTTTGAAGGAATCTACACTTGCATTGCTAACAGTTCATTAGGATTTGCTAAGTCGTTCTTTCGTTTGACAGTGCACGGTTTGTATCATGAGCATCTGTATCATAGAAGTTGGGATGCTAATAGGATAATACCGATTTCTGGCTTTCGAGAAATGCTTTCGACTTTTAACGTCTTGAATGTTTTGCGAAGTGCATTATGTTATTGATAAATTGATTGATAAGCAAAAACTACTGGGGAAGATTTTCTTTTCAAGAATTCATGATATCCATTGTCGTGGTTGCTTTAGAAAAAGATGAATACCCGGGCATACTCAAAGATCGTTCTGAGAAAAAGGTTGCTGTACGCAAAACAGCTTGAAACACGACAATTTTGTGTCAGATTGTAGTGCTATAAATGCCATAGTGCATCTTCTGGTATATTGTGTGACGTCATAAGGTGAACGGGTCATTTCATGTGTTACTCTTTATTAAGAAATAGTCATCAGAATGACTAAGAATTGCCTCTTATTTATAAATCACAAAAAGATATGTAAATACGTTTTTACTTGATGTCTGCTTCAACTAAAAAATGCAGTAAGACTTTGATAAGGTTTAGGGTTAGTTAGAAGACAAATCAATTAAAAAATATACGAAAAAAAACCCCGGCTAAACATATTTCATATCATTTTTCATAAAAAGAAAAAGGTTTATGTCTTTGTACTTAACAGTTATTCCAAAGATTTACACTGTACTACCAACATTAACAACGCTTTCAACTGGATCATCTAAAAATCTTTCCTGCGAAGCAAATGGTGACCCATCTCCTCAGTATCGTTGGTTTAAAGGAGGACAACTCATCACAGACTACCGAGCGTTAGCTGATGGAAATAAAACATTGCTGCTAGCTAATGTACTGCCAAAGGATGACGGGGAGTACAAATGTGAAGCATACAACGTTGAGGGCAGTGATACTTCGACGACCAACCTGGTGGTATACGGTAGGTGATTCTACAAAAACGAGAGTACAGTACTGAAGTATGAAAACATTTTATATGTACGTGATATGCATGTGTTATGTGGCTTTTATTTCTTTCCCAAGTTGTAAATCAGTTTCAACAAAGACTGTTTGCATTTATATTTGCCTTTCGAAATGACGATTTTTAAAGTTGGACTGGTTTCAGGACATAGGACAATTGAGTGTTGATCGAGTCGAGATTTCAAGATATACTCTCATTCCCCCTAAGTTCTCTAATACTTTGTCTAGCTTATTGTAAGTTTTTTTTTTGTTGGTAAAAAAAATGAACAGTCGGTTTTGTATTTCACACACTGCCATAGATTCTGTATAATGTAATTATTTATTCTTACAATATTTTTTTTTGTAGTTATACCTTACATTTCAACACCTCTAAAGAACATAACCCTGACTCTGAAAAGCAAGTTAATTCTTAGTTGTAAAGCTGATGGAAAACCTAAACCACATATCTATTGGCTGAAATCTGGATCACGTGATATTCCTCGAGCACAGTTGTCCAATGAACGCACAGTTCTTGCCATCCAGTCAGTGGTTTTGGACGATGAGGGAACATATGGCTGTGTTGCTGAGAATAAGTTTGGAAATGATTCGTCATTTGCGACTATAAAGATAAGAGGTTTTTTACTATTCATTACGTGTTTCGTAGTCTGTCTTCTGCAATATGAGGGCTTTGCTCGTGGTTGCTATATGTAAGAGAACCATTGGGGATTAGATATTGAGCGGTTCTCGCTCTAAATCCCGGATCATTTTTGACGGCGTAGCAGGGAGAATGAGATTGAAGTACAGGGACTGAAGTACAGATAGTAAGATAGATCGATAGTAAGTCATATTTAGAGCAGCTCTTATAATAAGTTGTACTCACTATAATGATACACCAATACATCTGGAATGGGACGTCATTTTGTGTATTTTTTGTTTTTGTTTTTAGTTCCCGATTTACCTAAAAACCTCAAATTCACATTTGACGGCGAAACCTACACAATAACTTGGTCAGCACCACGTGACTCCAGCATGACCATAATTGGATACAAAGTATTGTTCTCGAACAACCAATCAAATGACGACTTGAATGATATAAAGAAAACCTTTATTGTGGAAGGGCAAGAAACTAGAATAGACGTCAAGCTCTCAAGTCTTCATGGCAGTAAGCTGTACATTGTACGAGTCCAAACTTGGACAACAAAAGGATATGGTGAACTTAGCACGGACTATGCAATCATTGAAACACCAGTAACAAGTAAGTCCTGCGAAAGGAAGCGAAAGGGAATGTGCCGTGTAGCGACTGTTTCAGTGCAATGTTCTCTATTTCTCGTTTGCTATTACGTCACAGCGGACATCTTGGTTGAACTTCAACAAAGGATTTCCATTAGCATCTATTGTTCATTCAACCAACATGGCCGCCATTCTTTAGTCCTGAATCTCTTGGGAATTATTAAAAAGTGTAAACTTACCGTAAGTGTGCTGTGACTCCACAGGCACAGCCACCCAAGACGTCACGTACGGATATCCTTGAAAACGCTTTTCAAAGCAAATATTTTTTATCACGTGTTTTAAAAACGGCGATAGTCGTCTTTTGGAAGCAAATAGAAGATCCGGTTTAAAAGAGTGTCAATCTTTGTGTTAACTCAGCTTCTCTCATCTTATCTGTTATGCAAACGATAGTGCACACGCTTGAAATCTGGATACGAAGTCTGACTTTCCACGAAAGCGAAGTCTGCTCCATCGCCTAGGCCTTAGAAATCATGGAGCATGTGCAGTTGGCAAGTTTTTAATGAAAAGTGGGAAATCATCTTGCTTTTTTTCAGGTCCACCTGTCCCGGTCGTCCCACCAGAGCTTCCTGACGTCATTTCAGTAACAGAAGTCAAAATAAAGGTCCCGAAATTTTCCGATATCAATGGAAAAATCAAGTATGTATTTAACAAATTGCGCACACCATCACGTGATGGTGTTATCACAGTGTGCATGTCCTGATCTTATTGACACACTCCGTCAATCGGCGCGCGAGAATTTACACAAGTGTCAGGTAAAATTAACAAATGGCATATGAAATTGTTGAGCATATAACCTGGTTTCCACCAAGCATTGTATAATTAATATCAACCCACATAACCCTCTCCCGAAATCCTCCCTTAGGTTTAAGATTCTTTATGTTAAGATGTTTTAATAATTTCAGATTTTACAAAATCATTAACGTGATACTTCGAGGCCATAATGACAAGCTCGTTGACGTTGATGACAAGCAATTGGTAACTTATTGTCAAGCCCACGAATCTAAAAACTCCGCGGCATATTTGGCTTTTTATTTCGCATCCTCTGATTACGAAAAATACAAGAACTTCGTGTTGGGGGAGGGCCAAGGAAAAAAGTGCAAATGGAGATCAGTTCGAGAAAGTTCACCGGAGTATTACAATGGTCCTTTACAACCCAAAACTCAATACAACACTTTTATTAGAGGATACACAAGCGAGGTAAGCAAAAGGCGACCTTCAGTTAATATATATATATATAAATAAGGAACCGGTAGATTGTGGTCCCGGGACCTTCAGGATCAGTAAGCCAGAGCTATATTGTTTATCCTTATGTTCTTTTGATGTATTGATTTTGTTTTAGTTGTTGATGTTGTTGATGTTGCTATTGCTATTGCTGTTGTTGTTGCTATTGTTGTTGTTGTTGGTGGTGTTTTTAGCATACTTTCGTTTTAAATTTATTCATCTGTTCTTTTTAACAGAAAACCTATTCATCGAGTAAATCCATTGCGTTTTCAACGTCAAGTTAGTAACAAGCTAAGTGGCATAACCATGCACTTCGTTTTCTTGGAAAATATTACGGGATTTAATTTACATTAATTTCATTTGTGTACGACATAATATAATTGGGAAATTCACCCAACAATAGCAACTCCCCTGTATACGTCCCTGACCACCCACAAATTAACTCTTTGTAAACGATAACTTGTGAACGATTGATAACACATTATTCCCGGCAATTATTTTTAGGTATTAGCAATTATGAAATAAGGGACTGTGCAATAATTACCAGGAGGGAAGGGGGGGGGGGGGGGGGGGGGGGGGGGGCTGTAAAACCAGATTTCTCAACCAGAAAATTAACCAGAATCCCCCCTCCGAAGCATAAGATAATAGCTCTTATGCCCCCCCCCTGCTATACTAGAAATAACGTCGGACCCCTCCCCAACTATTAACCTTAGTTATAAAACAAGCATAAGCGAGTCGAGTCAACTGTAGCAACGCAAATTTCAAGACGAACCAACATTCAAAAGGTGGTTTACTCATCTGGACCTAAGTGTAAAAGACAAAAACTTTCAGGAGGAGCAGACAGGGTCTGTTCTGCTAAATAACTGTTCTTGTATGAATTTGTTCCTGGGAAAGGTTTTCAAGGTCCAAAAAAGGCTTATGTAACGTTTTTATGGTCAAAAGCAACTTTGTTGTTATTTGTACTTGTTGTGTCTAATAAATCATCAAGATGTTTTTCAGCTTCTACATCTTCAATTTATGTGTTAAAATTGAAAAAATGAATAGTTGAAAAAAATTTCATATCCTGGTCAATTTGAATCCTACATCAACGATCGAGTCTTTGAATTTAGATTTCCATTAGTACGTTTCGTTTCATAAATGATAACCTAACAAGCTTTAGCTAGCAGATTAAAAATGATCTGTGTTGTTGATAATCCTTCTTAAAACTAAAAAAGTAATATCAATATCATATCAATTGTCAGTTAAAGTTGTTTTTGTCATTTTCTACAAATGGTTATTTACGTTGAATTTAAGATAAAGAAAATAATGAAAATTTTGAATAAAAACCCCCCCCCCCCCCTCTGTTAATTAGGTAATTTTACTTTGAGCCCCCCTATCTTGGCATCAATTTTATGTAATGCCACCCCCTCTGGTTTTACGACTCCCCCACAGTCCCTAAGGAGTATTTAAAAAATAACAGTAACAGCACAATTCGAATCATTTTTTTTCATTATTCCTTTTAAAAAGTACAGCAGCTCTAATGTTAGGTTAAGTTTTGCTTTATTCTTTGGCGGGAGGCATTATTTTTGTTTATTGTATTCTCAACCTATCGTGAGATCGTTCCAAAAGGTACTTAATGTCCGAGAGGGATTGTTTACAAGTTTCAGTGTATTGGAACATTTAACTTGCGTACAAACTCCTGTTTTACTTACATTTTTTGTGTTTTTGTTCAAGGTAAACAAGCTAAAAGTACCAAAGCTGCTACGAATAATCTTGCAACGATCATAGGAATTGCTATAGCATTGCTAATAGTAATTATTATTATCTTGTTGCTGGTATACTACAAAAGGTACTTTTTATTCATTTTCCGATCATTGGATCATTCACACGAAACCCGAGTAAAAGCGCACAAATATTTAATAAGTGTGGTTAGTTGATTGAAAAATTGATTGATTTTTTGATTGATTGATTCAGTAAAAAAATCATTAGATCTTTTCTCCAAAATGGCCGCCGTTCACTAGCATATTATTTTTTTACTTTTTGCCCCAAAAAATTGACCTCTGAATTATTCTTAAAAGTACATATTCTTTAGAGTGTAACCATTTACCAAAACAAAAGAAAATCCGTAGAGATATGCATTTTCCAAACATCATATGTTACAATAGTATGTTTGGTTAGGGGTTTGGGCTATACCGCCCAAAGAGAAATGGTTATCGGCCATTTTAGAGAAAGTTCTGTTAACAAAACCGATTGTGTCGTCACATACTTGCAAAAAAAGAGAAAAGAAATCCGTTACGTTTTGTCTTAAACATATCCGTCGTATCCTACAATGCATTGCGTATACGGTATGTGACGTATAAGACTCACAAGGTCTATTGAGTGATAAAGTGAAATGAGCGATTGATCAATAATCATAAATTTATATTAGCGATTCACAGCATAATCAATAATACTATTCTATGTCTAAGATCAAGAACATTCTCACTCACTCTTGCTCTACCCACAATCATTGTTACAAGAAGAAAAAGTGAATTTTACGAGACAGAAGAGAGAGAACTTGAGGATATGCATAGTCGAGATCCAGGTATGTTATTTAATAAGAAATAAAAGAGATGCAGGGGCGGATTTAGACTGGTTCACCTAGTTTCCGGAAACTAGTGAGATATTTTCGCAAAAATATAATAAAAATAGGTGACATTTCAAATAAAATTACACAAACGGCAAATAATTAGAGAGTATTTTACCGTTTAGCTTGCAATACGATCGTTCTAGCCGCCATTTTGAGAATCTTACCACAGGAAACCCACATTTAATAACAAGAATATTAGCTGTTTTTGTGACGAAGGCCTTCTGGGAAGGCTTCGTCACTATGTCATCGTGCAGGTAAATAAGAGTGTAACCACTTTAACAGCCCTACCCACCCCTCGACATGTTTGTATTCAAAAGCCCTATCAGCTCCCCCACGCGTTTATATCGGTAACTTAAAATACGTACAATACAAGGAGAATCTTCTCGGTGTATCGGAGATTTATCGGAGTCATTTCGAGAGAAAAAGTGATTGCTGTTCTTCACGTGAAAGAAACACATATTAGAGGAGATCTCTTCTCGTTGTATTGGAGATTTATTGGAGTGATTTCGATGGAAAAAGCGATTGCTGTTCTTCACGTGGATTCGCACGCTCGTGTGTTGCTTCGAAGGTGAGTTTTATACAATGTTTTCAAACTGCTTTGTGTCTACAAGTAGACTACTTTCTATGCATTATTTGTAAATTTGGTATTTCTAAAGAATTGCCCATATTTTGTGTCGATTTGTGGGCACTTTATGTGGTTTGTTTGCCAACCAAAGCTCGATTGCATCGCTTCGCTTATTACACAACATCAGACCTGACCTCGGGTAATAACTAGAACTCTTTCGGCAGACCAAACATAGCACACTAAAAATTTAGGGTTTTTTATCTTTAATTAAAAATATGATAAGTCTTATATACATAATCAATTATGTCTTGGGACAATAATAAATTAAGACATTGCAGTAAATCACCAAATTAAAAATACAATGTATTTACTCAATTATTTAAAATTATTATTTTTTTATTGTTTCAGAGTTCAAATTACAAAGAACCATTGCAATACTGTGAAGTTCATCATCTTGAATATCTCTCTTTCAAGTTTTAAAGAAAGTTGCTAAAACAAAATACTGAAGCTTTTTCTTTTTTTTTCACAGTAGATGTACTACACTTTATATAGCTAGTCTAATTATATACATTTTCCTTTGTTATTGTTTTTTAAAGTCACCAGTGATAGTTGACCCCCACACAAAGTGCTTTTTATAAAACTATGAAACAAATTCTCATACACTAAAGACCAAAAATAAAAGAAAGAGTAATACTTGTAGTGGATTTCAGCTTATCACAACCACTTTTATTTTTTTTATTAAAATCAATAATCAGCCTGAGTCACATGCAGTCCTCGACTGCCTATTTTTGTCTTGTGGGAGGGGACCCATCGAAACTTTTTGCCAAAGAAAGGCAATCTTGAGCCCAGMATCTGYGTGGCTGTCTGACAGCGGACTATCGCGAGGTGAGTGAACTRGTTTCTTTTGACGTCATCAGTGATTCACAAAGGTATCCCGACTAGTTTCCGCGATCAAAGCTGTTCACACAGGAATCCTGAATACTGATGTTAGCCAATCAGAATCGAGCTTTGATTTGTACAAGGGAGGAGTAGGAGCTTACCAGAAACTAGTCAGAAACCAGTCGAATCCAGTAACTATCCTACCCCGGTAAGGTTTTATTTTAGTATCTTTGGCAAACTTTGTGTCATTCAGTTAGCAACGGATTTCGAGGGAAATTGTTTTGAAGTAATTACCTATAACAATTCTAAGCAAATCGAAAAAGGATTTAGGCCACAATTGCTTCCAAAACTGTTTGAATCTGTTATTTTTGTGTCGGAATGTGTCCAAGCCACTCGTGAAACCGTTCAACCGTTCCCATACATTGGAATCGCCGACTGATTTGACTTCATGTGAACATTCTTCGTGCTTGGTATGTATTGAAATTAATGGCAAGGTGATTCAAAACAATGAAAACACTTGAACCAAATAAGTTACATATTATACACAGTTAAGAATTGATAATTTACAGTAAACTCGAAATACAATTCCTGGAAKTYGGKAGCTASTGYARGTCGCTMGTGTAATCTACCGCGCATTGTCGTCTCTGTGTAACTTAAGTTAGATTATGTTTAAAAATTGTCTGAATCAGCTTTTTAAATCAGTTTAATAGAATCGCATCATTTTGCAGGCAGTTAAATTATTTGGACCGACGTAATGAATATTCATGTTTTAATTAATTRGCATATGTCAATACAACATTTTTCGAGTTGGAAACTAGTCAGTAAAAATGCTAGATCCGCCCCTGAGATGTGCTAAACGATGATTTCTCGTGTAGTTCAATAATGGTACAGTAAAAAATGACTACAAATGAATTCATAAACATCTTGTTAAGGTTAACTAAGGATTATCGCTAGTCGACCTTTCATTAGTCCAGCCCAGGTCTTCTGCCAGCAAATCTACGTGACATCATATGACGGCATTGGGCTGTATCCCCGATTGGCCTTACAATGACAGACATTTCGTCGCCTATCTTAAAATAGACTTTATTTAGTCTAATTTTTTTTTCTATGAGAACTAATATCTTTAAATTAAACCCATTCCCCCGTAGTTGGTAGCTCTCAATGATTCAAGTCATGGATAATCCACTAATAGGCAAATATCCCCGCTGTGAAACACCTTTTTTGGAGTCATATTCATCAGTATATTTCCTTAAACTTAAACCTTGAATCTTGAATCCGCAATATTGAAATATTTCCTCAACCTTAAATACTCAGTGATTGAGTGGCAAGGGTGGCTTAGTGTTTAAGCTGCTGCCCTCTCACCGCTGTGGCCCGATTCGGTTCTCGGGCACGAACCATATGTGAGTTGGAGTTTGTTTGATGTGTTGTTCTCTCCCTTGCCATGAGGGTGTTGCTCCGGGTCCTCCGGTTTTCCTCCCTCGGCAAAAATCAACATGTGAGGAGTGTTGTGTGYTAAAATACTTAATGTAGAGGTAGTGAGTGTGAGTGTGAGGGCCACAAGTTAATCAGTTCTTCATTGTCACGTGTTTACCCTCTTAAAATAAAGTTGACTTATTTTTTTATTTAGTTTAGAACATATAGACTTGATGGTTGTCAGAGCATTTGAATAATGAATATTTTCCATTTTCTTCTAGGAATATCCAATAAAGCGGATGATGATGAAAATAACATCCAAAATGATGACCAGACACAAGAAAGCGAGATGATTCTAAAGATTAATCGTAAAGAATTTTAGCGCAGTTTGAAGTAATGTTTAAAGGCCGACAATGAGGACTTGACGGGGTTTCAAAGTCCGCGCAATTAGTTCCAGTCCGAGGCGCCAGCCGAGGACTGGAACTAATTGCAAGGACTTTGAAATCCCGTCAAGTCCGAATTGGAGGCCTTTGAACGACTTCAAAAACTCATTAATTATTCGGGAGGGAAAAAAAGCGAAGGAAATACATATAACAGAAATATATTGATTTATTGCATCTCCACTAAGGTTTTCAGTTTTCATAATTTTGAATGCATGAAGCACCGTTTGTTGTTCTTCAATTCCCGGACGGCTTTCTGAAACAAAAGCTATTCAAATTGTCTTTGTCTGCTATTCATGGCATTCCTAATGAGTCTAATTCATAAGTTTTATAAGTATGTTATCTTCCGAGGAATCGCATCAGAAACTCGGTGGCGTAATGGTATAAGACGGCGCATATAGACTGGACGGTAGGGGATCGAGTCGTGATGGAGTCATGTATCAAAGACCTTTTTTCACTAAATTAATGTTAAACTGATTATTTCTAATAATTTGATTATCATTAGCTAGTAGTAGTTGGAAACATGGTAGAAGTAACTGGAAATAAGGTAGAAGTAACTGGAAATAATGTAGAAGTAACTTGAAAAAGGTAGAAGTAACTGGAAATAAGGTAGAATACAAGGTACGAGTACTTCCTCTGGTTTCAAGTTACTTCACGTGGTACAAATTACAAACAGGGATTGGTTGAATACCTCATGAATAATTAATGAGTTTTTGAAAACAATTTCGACGTTCTCTTTAGGGGAATCAGGAACAAAGTTCACTGGACAAAAAGAAATTTGACGGCAAATTTATTCAGCAAAAATTATTTTTCTGAATACGAGTCCAAACCAGTAGGGACAGTAGATGCTCTTTGTATGCTAATAAGTTGCTCGGTTTGGTGATAGCTATCACTATACGTAGTTTTCAATGTTGAATGTCACTGAACCAAGTCCTAGCGTCTCACAAACGACATTTAAGGGCCGGTTATCAGTACGTCCTGATGCAAAATGGAAATTTTATACTTGAGAAACTGAAAAATATAAGCACAATCACAAACACGTTTCTGCTTATGTAGTGAAAAATAAGCAGTCTCTGTAAAGCGTGAAGCAGCTTCTGCTTGTTTCTCGACAAATACTTACACATTAGAATTATAGTAGTAATCTTTATCAATTAAAATGATGCCTGCTTTGTAAGTATCTCTGAAAAAGTAATCCTTTTTCCACACTAAAAGCTTTTGCGACAAAATATTGTGCAAATACAGTAATAGCGGTGATCCCGCGATCTGAGCACCATAGCTAAGAAAAAAAATGATATATCAATCGAGTCCATTTTTCATGGACCGACACAGGGTTCCCGCGCGTACGCACATTTCCTTCAAGCTGTAATTCCTTCCGTCGTGTACCACCACAGGAAATCCATACTCCGCGCGAAAAGTAAAACAAAAAGCGCCAAAATATCTGTTGAAACATCGAATTTTTTTCCTCAAACACTTATCTTCCAAATTAATAGTATTAAAAAAAAGATCACTAGCAAAACAAGGCATTCTGAAAAATATATGTCTTTATGGCTTAAAAATTGCCATAAAAATACTTAAATAGTGTTGTTGAGGTGTTTGAATTATTCCTCACACAGGTCCCCACGCATGTGCAAGATCTCCATTTAGAATTCTACGAGCAAAATATGCGGCTTTTACTTAAATGGATAAATTAGGATTAAATTGTAACTTTGCAGCGTATACAGCTATTTCAAAAAACGTTGACGGGGAGAACGGCAAACGGCGATTATCGAAGGGAGATTGCACGACCGAAAAGGACTTGTCTCGTTTATAATCCAAATTTTGGATTTTACGATGTTATCCTTCCTCGGACTCGTTTTTGTCATTCTATATGTCAAACTGTCAGATCGTAATGGATTTTGAAAAGGACTATGGTTACATTATTTTGATAAACAAAATTTCACTTATTGGATTCACCTTACATAGAAATGAAGACTAAATGGAAACAATGTTTAACACAGACAATCTTACAGTACAAATCAGTTGTTGTTGCCTTTCAACTAGCAAAAAGCTACTTTCGGTCGTGCAATAGCCGTTCGACCATTGACATTCGCCATTTTATCCGACAAGCTTTTTTGAAACAGTTATATTTAACAATTATTCGCCGAGGGCGAAGTGATTTTCAATGAATATGTACCGAGAGGCGATTCCGTGAGCCGCGAGGTAGATATTCATTGATAATCACTGAGCCCGAAGTGAATAATTGTTTTAGTATAATTTCATAAGTGAATATTCATAAAAATAGAGAAAAAAGAACTACTGCATTTTCGTAAAATGTTATATGGCGGGGATTGAAGATGGCGGTGGAGGGCCGCTCGGATTGACAGCAAAGTCATCATCTTCTTGTAATAATTGCCATCTTTCTTCCTTATGGACACGTAAAACTTTGATAGACACTTGTTTAATTCACTTGTATCCATGTCTTCAAAGCTGACAGTGAATTCAGAGTGTTGTTGAAACCCATTCTGTCAAAAAATTTATCGAGTAAAATGTAAACAAACCAGGCGAAAACCTTCAAATTTCAGCCTGTTTGACGTAAAACGATAGATAAAAAAGTAGTTTTAGACAATGCTTTTATCATTAAATAAACAAAACTTACCTGTAAAAAATGTTTAATCCAATTTTTTTAATCCAATTGTTTAATCCAACGACTCGCGGACGACGCCATTTTGCGAAAAAATCCAATATTCACCTATAGGTGAACATCGATCGCTCATTGAAGCGTGAAATTCGACCAATCAGCGCGCTAGAATTATGATATTCACTTATGAAATTATACTAAAAAGCTTTATCTGATATTTATATATAAGTCAATAATTATATATAAATGCATATTTCAGAAATTTTCATATTTTTTATTCTACATTTATTTTGGAAATGATGATCATCACGATGGTGTTGGAGCATAATTTCTTTATCTTCAGTTTTTACTTTGTTTCTAGAACAATAAGAATTGAATTAGTAAAACTAGTTGTATCACTACAAGCATTCAAATTCACTATTTTGTTTTAAAGGGATAGTAAGAAGAATTGTAACACTGATTATAACGGGCCGTAAGGCTCGCGACAATCATGTATTTTCTAAACGAGTAGATGACTAGGCTCTACAACATAGCAGTCGTATTTTTATAACGAGAAAGAGTGCATCAATGTAAACAAAAAGTAAACACTTTATATTTTCGTACTTATTGCATTTTACCAGACATTACTGTTACAATCTCCAAACGGAATGTATGTGGGGTTGATCTTGTCATAATTTTTTTTTATAAGTTATCATATAATAAAGAGCTTGCTTTTTGTTTAGCAAGGAAAAGCAACATCATACAATGTAGCATTTGGTTTCCTTTTTCCATTCAGAACAATAAAGCATTTTTTTTAACAACTAGCTCCATGCCAAGTTGTTTAGAACAAAGTCATTTGTTTACCAAATTCGCGAGTTTTCGGCAAAGTCGCACAACGTGCCTGTGCTTACATATGCTATTTCCAAAAATTCTGCACAATTTTTAATTTGAATTTTAAAAAGCACCGTCATACCTGGAATGCAATCTGGCCATTTAGCAGTCGTTGTGCCCGTTGTGGTAGTCCAATTACCATCTGACTTATAGCAGACATACATTGTGGGCACTTGACTTGAAATTTTGAAGCCCTTTTTACAAGAGACTAAACACAACCTTCCTTCGGCAAAGGAAATGCACTGCCAAGCAGCATTAGGAGTGGACGGAGGGTCGTTACAAACAGCACCTGTAGAATTATCGAGATCATTTGCTCAACCGTTCGTTTTTGATCTTCGAAATGTTTTAGTAGCTTTTTATAATATATTTGATTATTGACAAGACGCCGTCCAAGTAAAATAATTTTAGAAATTAAGGAATTATTCCTAAACGGCTCTAAAGGACTGAGAGGTCAGCTCGACTTCGTTTTTAATGTAATTCTATGTTCCTCTGTTCGATTTTGCTGCAATGTTTAAAACTATACCTTGTGATCAAGATTTAGATTTCCTGTATGCGTGCATCGAATGAGATTCTTGAAGCAAATTTTAAATAAAATCCCATTTTTTTAATCTCAGAAACAAGCACTGGTTCTCACTTTACTAAATTACGACATTCTTAAAAGTTTTAACTAACCTTGAGAAGGTCCAAAGTAGCTCAGAAAAAGCAAAAATCCAACAGCAACCAAAGTCTTCATAGTTCCAACGTTTGTCTTATTCAGTGCATGAAGTTAAGAGGACTTAATGAAATTATACACGATAGAAAAGTATTTATTCAGGTTTGTATTGTACAACACGCTAAACACCAGAGTTTGCTCAGAACAACCCTGTTTAAATAGCCAAAAAATTATGCTGTCTTATGCATGAGAAGTTAATTTTTAAAGGAAATTAAATCGCGAAATAAGAATAACAATCGCACAATATTGATTTTATTCTTGATTTGAACACAGTAATGATGGATGAATAAGCTGATGAATAGTGCCGAGGATCGATTTTGTTTTGCCAAGTCATTTTTTTGTTAGCACCATAAATCCCATTGGGTTGTTACAGCTGAAATTGCATGCAACACTTTTTTTCAAACACTTTTTTATGCCACTGAGCTAAAATAGCAGTTTTTGTTTTTCATGACAAAAGTGCGAGAAATTGTACCGTTTCTGCAAGAAATCTCGACAACTGTTTTAAAAGACTTTTTGTGGATGTAGAAAAGTGCGGGGACTGCATTTCCCATCATGCTTTGCTATGCCGGGTTATAATTCATTCAGTTTCAGAACAATTGTAACACATTACACAAATGTCCAATAAAAGTTGTTTTAATATAATTATCGACGAAGGAAATAAATGATAGGTATGCCGTATAACGTAAGGCTATGATAAAAAGAATTTTAAAAGATTCTAGTGGACCGACTTGAATATACGTTGCTACACGTCACGAAATTTAGAGATTTAGGAATACATTAAAAGACAAAGAAGAACCATTTTCGTTTGTATTTCAAATGATTCCTAAATAGCAAAATTTCTTTCTTGGACAACTTATCTGTAATTATGTGTACATACAAATAATACACAGGCCTAAAACGTACATAATTTGCCATCATATAGCCTGATATATCCTATATGTTTTAATCTTTTCGAAATATATCTTCAATTGAAAGTACTTCATTTCCTTTGCGTAGGTATCGACACTGATCTAGGTTTTCCCATTGTTTAGCTGCCTCTGCTTGTCTGGCGGCATTGTGTGTTTCCTCTTTTAAGGGGGGAAGGGACGAAGACGTCGGTTTGTAGACTGACGAGTACCTTAAAAAATACATTGGCAAATATATAGCTGTCTCTTCATCAAACGTTTTGTAAGAATTTAGTGGTGAGTGACAATGGCCCTTTCCCAAGATGTTGCTTCTGAAGAACCAAAGCAAGGCTTTGGCTAGGTTGTAACAGTTTCCACGTGTTCACAATAGATGGAGAAAATTGCTAAGGAAACAAAAAATAAAAGGGAAAAGTTGTATTCGACTATTCAGGAATTATCGTTGAAGAAGCCAAAAGAACTTTTCATAAAATACCAAAAGATAAATCGTTATGAAAACTGTGGTGGCAGCGACTAAATAAGAAATAGAATGTAACTGAGAAAATGTGAGTTTGTAGTAAACACTTTGTAGCCAAAATATGATTATCAAAGCGTAACCTTATTGCTAGTGTACAGTACTTTTCTACATCTATTGTTAACACGAGAAAATGTTGTGATCTAGCCGAAGCCTCGCCTTTGGCTCCGCAGAACCAACTTCTTGGGGAAGGGCCATAGAGTACAAAGATTACATAAGATTTCATAAGAGGTAATTTTAGAGGTAATTTTATAACTATATGGACGCCTTTGATAAATTAAGACAGCCGGGATGCACTTGAGAGGGTCATTCAATAATGAATGATGAATGTAATTAATGTATAGTTATTCCTTTAAGATTGCAATTATGTCAGTTTTTTAACATCTTATTAGTTATATCGTTAACGTTTGTATCCTATGTATCAATTTGATATTTTGAGGATTAAAATTTACAGATTAATTGTTTTTTATGCTTTATTGAAATATGAAATTACTTGAATTTGACTTGAATTTTAGTATTGCAATATTTTTGACCTATAGACATCCCATATTTTAGCACACTTAAATATGGCTAACGTATTGACAATGTTAATGGTGGTCAAAATTTATCTCATACAATTGACACAATTGGCAAGTCTACTGCTTTTGTTCAAGCGTTCCCTGCATTCTCCTTTTCAGTTTTTATAAGTTTTCTAAAAAGGAACCAACGGTGGAACGGGATCAGAATGCAATATGTTCTTAAAGGCACTAGCAGAAAAACTCGCTAAGAAAACYAATAACRCATATGCAGAAACAATAACTTACATAAGAACAAAGTTATCCTTTGAGATCATCAAATCTATTAATTTATGTATACGTGSYTCACGAGTCCCCTTTTACAAGAACAATGACTTTTTATTCGATTTTAAATTAAATGTAAACTCTGCAGATATTTGAATTAGTTTTTTTTTTTAAATAATAGGATGTTTCTTTAGTAAATTATTTAATGTAAGTTTCATTCTTTTTACAAATTAATTAATGCATAGTTATAGACTGATTGAAATAATATATACTCTAAAAGGCGTTAAAATCATGCGTAGGAAGAATAATTTTAGTTTTCCACTTGTAACAGGAACTTAAAGGAGGCTTGAGACTTATCAAAAACAAATAACAGCTTACCTTCGTTGTTTTGCCTCCTGTGATCGCCCAACAGTCAAATTGTATTTGTCTCTCGTTATCTCATTATCATCAAACACTTCAGCACTTGAATCTTCCTTTTCTGTTCCTCTTCTTTTAGGCAAACCTCCGGTGGGACCCCTCCCTGTGCTTTTCTTTCGAATTGGCCCTGGATGAAAAGGGGTAACAGGAATGTCTGCAATGTCAATCAGACGTCTTGCTCCCATGGGAGGAGGACCTGATACTGTGACGCGTCGAGTTCTTTTCTGGGATTCCTGTGGACGCAGGTCAATGCGGCATTGATCTTTGAGTTTTTCAGGAAGAGATTGCGTCATGAATCGTCCTTTGAAAGTATCGCGATAGCTAGCATCGCTATCAGACAACGATCTTTTACGTTCTTCATTGAAGTGCTTGGAGTATGTTAGACCATAAGTCGAACCGGTCGGACTGGGCTTGAGTCGATCAAATGTTTTTGTATCGGAACTTGAACTGGAATAAGAAAACACTCCGGAATGGGATGTTTTTCTCACTCTTCCTTGACTATCATCTGTGATGTTTGACTCTTTTTTAGACTCAGAGGCTTTAGGGTCTAGAGTTAGGTTCATTGGAATACGCTCTGCTCGACTAAAAATCTCGCTTTCACCGTCATAAGCTTCACCGTGCTGTTTGTTTGCTTGTGTTTGTTGAACCTCTTGTTTTAATGACATACAATTTTCAGCATTAGTCAAGCCTTCATTTGGTTCAACAGTCACCATTACTCCTTCTGTTCCTAAATCTGTTTCTTTTTCGTTTATCAATCGTCCTCCTATGTTTTCACTTTTGAGGACGTCTTCTTCTTGGACCAGAATTTTAGGTTGGCGTGGAGAGGCTCCACTTACCTTCCTCTGTCGTTTGGTTGGAGTTGCTTTGGATCCTTTCGATTGCAGGCCTTCCATTGTCTCGGGCGAGGACGACTTGATGGTGTCGTCATCCCGAGGACTTAGCTCGCGGTTTCCCAAAGCAACAGTTATACGTCTTTGTCGTTTCGCCTGTCCTTGTTCTTCAAACGACGAAGGGACATATTGATTGGCAGATTTTGAGGCTCTGAGGTCTCTCTGAAGGTCGAATAAAATTTGCCTTAGCTCTCGAGTTTCACTACTTATCTTTTTGTTGGATATTTTGAAGGAGGTATCCAAAGCGTCGAGTTTCTGCTTGAGTTCATTCTCGGGCTGTTTGAAGTGTGCATGAGAACCCGTACCGGGACTAATTGCAGCAGAAGCGTCAGCCAAACTTCGGGAAACTTTCCTATGAACTCCACTCATGTTTGTCCAGATTTTGATTATTTGAATACAAACTTTAAAACATTACCAAGTCTTCTATACATGTGTTATTTTCAAGATCCGTTGCTGTTAAGATTCCTATTCATAAGCTTACTTTTTAACGTTATTATTTGACTATAGAAACAGTACCATGCCCCCGACGAAGCAACTAAAGCGGCCAATAAAGTAAACACGAATAAGCCTTTTCAAATCTGATTGAGGTGCAAAACGTATTTCATTAAGATTAGGACGCTAACGCAGTAATCATATCATGCTGTAATCACTAATTAAAACACAAATCATGGCAGAAAATCTAGAAAATGAAATCTTCCAACAGAAAAATACTTGGAGATCCAAAAATTTCATCTTTCGAGTACAAACGGCTTTGCACAATAGACATTTTGACCTGCACTTGTTGATAAAGAGAAATCTAGAGTTGATTTTATTTATCAGAACTAATCACTTCCAATTACAAAAGCCCGACGTCAAAATTTCTACAAATGACATTTAATTTAGGTCTCAGGCTCAGATGAAGTCGTGTTCCATGGATTACATTGAAAGGTTTGCTAGGTTGTATAAATCTGATAGCGTGCGATAATGCCTTTTAATCGTTATATACAAACACTTGTACAATACAGTGTTTACATAGGAAAAACTTGATGGGAGTCGTTAATTACGAACTGTGAAAACTTGTCACTCACAATAAACTAGTTCTCAGGGATTCGCGTTTAGCAGTGGGAGCCTCCATCTTTTCCACTTTCGATGAGTGAGGCCTGGGTCAGACGCCGGAATTAATTCGTCGAACTTTAATAATTCTGTTTAAATTTATTTTTATGACCAATAATCGTGCCAGAGCTTTTAAAAGGAAAAATGTTTACTGTAGTTTGATATGCTTTCAAAAACACAAGGTATCAGCTATACGACTGGAAAAAATAGGAACGTTTTCAAAGCTGCAAGAAAATTACGGCACAAGAGTTGTTTGTAATAAAAATGAGATCAAAACACTGACTGTCTTACTTTTAACAATAGTAACTTGAATTTGAGCATTCCTTCGGAAGGGAAAAAATAGATCGGCGTTTTACTCATGTTTAAAACAAATAATAAACGATTATACATACCACTTTAATCACTTTAATCATTGTTCAAAGCGTTTTGCGAAAATATAACTGAAGCTAGTAGAACTTTGGTTAATTAATGTTTACAGGAATTTCGAACCAGCTGTCTTCTTAACAAAGGTCTTCATTATGCGCTACTTGATAACATGTAATGATGAAATCTCATTTTTTGCTACTCAACTGTTACTAGTACTTAAATCTATTAACTCTTTCTGTTTTAAATCCTATGAGGGAAAAGAAAACCGTTTGGCCCTACTACCTGGGGATTGAGGGACTTAGAAATTGGACATTAGCAATCAAAATGAAAAACCTCGCAATAAAAGTGCTTACATATAGATAAATGTTAGTGCTCTTTAATTTTTCTGGATTGTTAATGGCTGCGAGTAAACAGCCAAAATGTTTTCATATTTACCGCCATTTTAAATTTCTTCTATTTAACAAATAGATCTCATTTTTCCGTGCGTGTGTACTCTAATAGATACACAGATGACGTCAAAATGTAGTGAGAACAAAAAAGTACGCACGAGACGCAGTCGAGTGCGTGACTGTTGTTCTCACTACATTTTGACGTCATCTGTGTATCTATTAGAGTACACACGCACGGAAAAATGAGATCTATCTGTTTTGTACAACAAACAATTAGTTTTGACGTAATCCGTGTATCTATACTTTGATAACACACAAAAGCCAACCAATCAAAACGTCTGATTTTACTGAAAAGTTGTATAAATCTAATTATCTTCACATCACCTGCTAATTACGTCAGATGGATCACGTGGGTTTGACTATGAAATACTTTGTTTGGCTCTATGTTCACCGAAGTTTCATGTWCTTTGAGCATTATTATGGAGGATATTCATAACAACCGCCCATGAGAAATTCTGACATATCGATTTGGCGCAAAGCGGCTTGAGATCTGCCCTGCTAACGAATAAATTTCCATAAAGCAAAATGGCACCAAATTTGAAAACATTTTGGCTCTTTACTCGCAGCCTTTCATAATCCAGAAAAAATAAACACCACCAATATAAAAGTTAGGTAACACCAAATAGCGGAGCTCCAATAGCACAACAGAAGCTGAAAATGATTATTTAGTACTGCTATTTCAAGGATAGCCTTAGTAGAGATGCGCTGTTTCGAGGAATATTGACATGCAAACAAGTATTATAAACATATTATGTATTCATTTTAGCTTAAGAAAGAGTATGTTTAAGAGAATCTATCTTCGTACTCTAAATGTAATATTGACGTAGATTTTGTTCCGTTGTAAGAAGTTATTATAGTCTGTAAAGGTCATTTGATTTAAACTAAACTGAATATGGCGTACGATCCCCGCCAAAATTCATATTATGAAATTTACATTCGTCGTTCCGTTTTTTTCACTCCAAATTCGGTATTAGACTGTTGAACTCCAAATTTTCAACTCTTTTTTATAATTTTACTGTTATTAAGCAATTTTTACGCTCGACTTTATATATTTTTAACTAGCTACAAGGCCAGACTGGGAGCAGGTAACATCTATTTCACCCCGACCTGCTCCCAGTCTGGCCTTGTAGCTCAAGTGGAGAAGGTGTTTGGAGCTCTATAGTCCTGTCGTGTTCTTGGTTTTCTCGCTTTCAGTGTCAATTATGGATCGTATCAATGAGACCAAAGAAAGGTTGTTGCGAGTGGCGGGAGAGCTCTTGACTCTTGCCGATCAAGAACTGTAAGTAAAAACCGCCTACAAGTAATTTTTTTAAAGAACTGGCATGATTTCGCACCTTTGCGTTATGCGAAGCTCGAAAGTGTTTACATCTGATCTAAATCACTTTTAAGCCTAAATGCCAAGAATACTTGCTTTTAATGAAAGGAGAAGAATTGCTATTGATCTTCTATTGATATTTTAGCCGGAAAACATCTAAAATAGAGAATCTTTGGCTTGAAAGTAAGGGTAGAATATGAGGTCAAACTTTTTTGTCACCTATTTTGAACCGTAGATTTGATGCTGGAAAAACTGAAATCCTTTTTATCCCTCGCTTTTTCTCGAGAAAACGCCGAATTTAACTTTTATTAAAAAAATACTTGAAAAATAACAGTTACTAGCAGCAAGTAAGGTATTTGTCTTGTGTAATAGAGAAGTTTTAAGGTAATACCGGACCTTTGCCACTGCGCATTGCATGCGCGCATGTTAAGATAACTAACGGCCGGTTCACACTATGACATAAGCAGAAACCGAAGCAGAAGCTTGCTCACACTTTTCTGCTTATGATGCTTATGAAAAAGTTGTT